GGACCAGAAGGAAAACAGCGGTGTAATATAGGTGAGTTATTGTTCCAAAATTTCACCCAGGTCAGCTCCAAATTAAGGAACACAGGATTCGCTTCTTATTTCCCACGGGCGCGCTTAGAACGAACAGATAGAATAAGAAGTTTGTAATTTACCTACCATGGCGAAATAGAAGTTATCTCCTTGTTTGAAATATTAACACAATGGCTCAGAACACGTTTAAAATTCGTCAAATGAAACATTGTTGTGATATATTTAATAAAACTTGATTTAGATCCCGTTCAACACCTAATTTCACCTAAAATCTGAAATATTAAGAGTAATTTTGAAACGGCAGACTGTAATTTGCTAATATTCGCTCAAGTGCGAGGATATGGCCCAAAATCCAAAATCCTGAGGCTAAGGAAAAAAATCCATTAAAGATTTTACGAGATCGACCATAAAGCTCTTCAACGGAATTTCTCTATATCAATAGTGATTGCTTTACAACGCCCACTACTTCCAATTGTAATCATTTAGTGAACACATGTGTGAAATTCGTTCGACTGCGAAGAGGGAAGTGTAAGTTGTTTTTTTGAACGCTTTGAATATAATCATGATATAAAAAACCATAGACCTACCACTCAGATGAAACTGAATTTGTCCCTGCCGACAGAGCCAGCAAAACGATCACAAGTGAATGTCAAATTGTCAACGTCGACTCGTCAATGTCAAATTGCGTGCCAATTTCCCACGCAAAAGCCTGAAAGAAAGCATAGAAAACGAACGCTGGCACACAAAATATGTGGAAAAAATGAAGCTATTAAAGAAATCTGTAAAAAGAAACAAAAGAAGAGAAGAGGAAAACAATAATTCTCCAACACAAACTTGGTTAATCATGGGTTCCCTGTTAATTCACCATATTTTTTTAAGTTTATTAAAAGAGTTACAACTCTTTGGATTTCTACATCTTCTGCATGACAAATTGGTTCTGAAATTGAAAACACGCTACCCAGGCAATACAACAGTCGCACTTGCGCAGACGATTAACCGCTTTGTTGACAGACTGCATCTGAGAGGACAATAACTACTAAAATAGAATTTAACATGCAGTATGAATAGTGTTTGGTAACAGTTTGCCGTATTTCCATTTGTTTTAGCTTGTTTTCAAACTCCGTTGAACCGCCTTACCAATGAAGCTG